AGCAGAACCAAAGAAAAAAAACTGATGCCGACCCCACTATTGTTGCTTGTCTATGAATTGCGTTAGCATTCGTCATGTTTACCTCCTTCTATCGTTACTAGGAAATGGACGACGTTAAGAACGACGTCTAGGACTACCTCTGGAACCTAGAGCCCTAGAGGTTGCCCTAGGGGCAACCGCTAGAGCAATTCAGTTGTCCGGCTAAACTTAGCAGGGAAACTGAAGTGCATGTAGGTCCCGTGACGTCAGGTCACGTGACATCAAATTTCTGCTATTCGCGACTCCAGCGACCTATAGGGGGCGCCACCACAAAACAAACATGGCGGCTGAGTCCAGGTCGCGGCGGCTCGGCCGGGCCGCCTGAACAGGTGGCGCGTTCAATTTAACAGATTTTCTTTTGTTTAATGCCCAATTTTATAGGTATTTGAACTGAGACGGTTAAGTGTAGCCGGTGCAGATAAACTTGCAAAGCATAGTTTTGTTTTGCCGGTGTTTTTTTGTTCTTTTCGTGTCAAACTTTCGTTTCGGAGATTTCGTTCAAAACCGAAACTATGGGCTCCGGAGAGACGGTAATATACTGATCAGTTTTGATCATCTAAGGAAAGCGGCGATGACTATAGAATTGTTCCACAGAGAGTAACTTTTCAGCTAACTCGCATGCCTCGACCATGCGACTTATCTGTCCGCGAAATCGAGCTTTTGTGCCTATCCGCGTTGACGAAACAGCTCCAGTCGTCTGCTCGGCCAACAACACAGGCTGCAGGAAAATTACGAAAATTAAGCAACCGCTTCTTGAGCCAAGGACCAAGTTAACCCGCCGGCGCCCCACTTAGCAGCTGATACTCGTATTTCAATTCAGGTTTTAGTAGCAATCGAGAAGTCATTTTGACGAGCGGGTTATGTATTATATTACGTACATGGTCCCACTAAAGCGATATTAGTATATCCTTCGGGTTAAAATATGAGCTTAGTTGACTAGCTATTAGGTGAGCTGCTGAATAAAAGTATATTTGACAGACGGAGACATACTACTTAAACTTAGCCAAATGGTTCTATAGCCGACAGCACGGAGACAAACTGAAGAGAGTCTTCATTGAGGATCCACGCAGAACCTCTCTGCATTGAACTTTGCTTCGACCAATGTAGACGTATATTGCTGCTGGCTTCGACGTCCTCGTAATATAAATATAGGAGGCGGGATAGGTCAAAATGCCGTGACAGCATCTAACGTTACGAGACTTGTCTCCCACCTTTTGAAAACAGATAATTTCCCTCATTTATCATTTGCAGCGAGCAAGTTTTCCTGAATCAAGTAATTGCGAAATCAGCCCAACTCCTTCAGTCTGGTCCAGAGGCTTTTTCGGCGAAAAGCAGCCAAGATGAATAGCCAACGCACCGACCGGCGTGGGTGGCTCAAACTTGAAGCTAACCGAACACAACCAAACTCAAGAAAAGCAGCTATCGAACCTTCCCATTCACTTGACTGCAACATTGGTGTTCCCTCCAGTATCAGTTACCAAGCAGTCGTCACTTTGAATGATATTCGAGACAGACAAGAAATCAAAAAGTTTTTCTGTGATTCCTCCCCATCCAAGAAATCGAAAGCACGCGACCGTGTGCTGTGGAGTAAACGGGCTTTCAAACACGTAATAGAAGAAAACAATCTACTGAGGCTTCACCACACTAATGATCACTCAGGCAAACTTAAGAAATATTCGGACCTTCGTCAAATTACATTGTTCGCCACCGCGCCGACAACACGTCTCCGCGAAAGCCACCAGAGACGCGGAGGGGCGCGGAGCGACCTGGACCGGCTGGTTCCCGGTTTTCCCGCTTGGCGGCGTCCGTTTTGCTGGAGTCGCGAATATTGAGCGGGGAAACTGAATTGGTGAATAGGTCATGTGACGTAATTTTTTAGCTCAATTCAGCGGTGAAACTTAATTGGTGTACAATTCATATGACGTCAATTTTTCAGCTATATTTAGCGGGGAAACTGAATTCGTTTGTGTGGCTCGTGACGTCAGGTAACGTAACATCAATGTTTCCGCCAAATTTAGCGGGGAAACTGAATTGATGTGTAGGTCACGTGAGTTAATTTTCCGCTAAATATAGCGGGAAAACTGAATTGGTGCATAGTTGACGTGACCTCAATTTTCCGGTATGTTTAGCAGAAAACCAGCGACCCCCTCCCTGCCGATTACATTAGAGGCCAGATACCTAGACTATTGACGGAACTCAGTGACGAGTTACTTAATAATGCCATCGCATTAAAAAAACTAAAATCTTTATCTTCCGAAGCACCAATATGGAGCAGGAGTTTATGCTGTCCGACCTCGGGGATGTTAAAAATCAGCAAGACAAAATCACTCCCTTCAAGATATAACAAGATTCGCGCGTTTGGGCCAAAGGTCGCAGAGTTGAACTTTGTTTCTGTGCTCCGGGAAAGACATCTTTAGCATTCACGCGCTTCTTGTACCCTTGTCAGAGGGGCACGTGATATGCCTTCAGAACGAACTCTTCCAAGGTTCGGCAAATCAGGGCACGCCGATAAGTGTGAGATCGCGAGCTGATTCGCCGATTCTTCGGAGAAGTTCGTCCTGAAGGCCTTTAAAGGTGCCCTGAGAAGGAGAAATCCATAAATCATAACAATGCCCGGCCGATTTCTTTATTAAAAAAAAACAAGCAAAGATCGAGCACACCGAAGTCATCTCCGGCAATGGGAGGAGCTTTGTTCCGGCAGCCAGGACAACATGCGACCAACGAGTGCGCGACATTTCGTTGAGATTGTGAATGCTCTTATTGCAAAATGTGTATGCTTTTGTAAATGATAAAAACAAATAAGAGTAGTCGAAACATGTTATTTTTTCGCCCGGACAGGGAATATAATACTCTAATACTAGTCTCAAAACCAGCGCACTCGGGTTTTCTTTAATTTTATTTCTTGTTTCCGCGGGAGTGATATGTCTAATCGTCAGTTCTCGAGCGCGAGCTCGCTGTGTTGAATTGTAGTCCGGGTTGTATGGGGGGGGGGGGGGGGATCGGTGGCCGAGTAGGCTAAAGCGCACACCCAGCTCGATGCGCGTGGAGCGAAAGCTCGCGCTGCAGAACCCAGGGATCCTGGGTTCGAGCCCCACCCCTGCCCGTTTCGATCTGGATGAGCATCGTGCCGGCGCGTGCGGTCGTGTATCACTACTGCGTGGTGCACGTAAAGACACCAGGCTAGCGGTTGTACTGCACTGGCTAAATTGCTCATCTACAGCGAGTGACTCGTCGCAACTTTAAATGGCAGACCAACTACACGCTGTATAAATATCCCGACAACCCCCCGGGTTGTATCGGCAACGAGCCGCGCGCATTCCAGATACCACTCCGCAGTTCCACTGGTCGGAGGCGCGAGAATCCTTCGCTTGCTAGTGGCCAACAGGGGTCCTGGTTTCGGAACATGCTCCTTCCATCGCCGGAGATGTGTTGCGATCTTTGATTGCTGCTGTAATAGGGAAATCGGCCGCGTATCGTCAGGATTTAGGGATCTCTATGATGATTAGAGCCAACAGAGCTAGTGATCGCGATATTTAGGTGATTTCATAAACCTACTCAGGGCACCTGTAATGTGCCAGTCTGACCCAGGTATTACCTTAACATTCAAATTTCTTTCTAACGTTGTACCATACATTCAAGGTACTTTAAACAAAGTAACCCAGACCCCTCTTTGTAGTTATTCATAAATTCACGGGGTCACCCCTTCCTTCTTAGCCATCCTTCTTACCACTAAGAGGAGATTCAATGAGTCGGCTCTCCGGATGTCCCATAAACGCTTTCGAGAGTCAGTGACTGCCGGAAACTTCTCTGAAGCCTGTGTCTGATCTGCCAGTGCGAGACACTTTTCATGTCAACGAGTGATATGGTCGCCGAAACTTTTTTTTACGAGCCTCTGAGGTATGTCATATCAGCTCTGTGTACCACCACACTGTAACCAATAGGTTGTTCTGGGTCATGATACAAATAAAGGATTAAAATCTCTGCAATCTCTCTAACTCAACATAATGATGCAGTTATGTTAGCCGGCGGAGACACGTAGGCTGCAGACCATGTCAAACAGGCTCATAGGAATGGGCCTGCCGCCACGTGACTTATTCATACCATCGGCTGCCCAAATAGCTAACGCCCCGCATAAAAAAAAAAAGAAAAGATGCTTGCTCGAGCGTTTAAGTCAACTTTGATTGCGACAGCACTCCACTTTCTCAAGCGTGAAATAACAATCCCGTAAATCTGCGCGAAACACAGCCTTCCCCCCCCCCCCTTTTTTTTTTTTTTTTTTTACATAAAAAAAGAAAAAGAAAGACGTGCTTCCTTTTTTTTTTGTTGCATGCTGAAGTTACAACACTTAAGAGAAAAAGTTTTCTGTTGCATCGAAAGCCGACTTATAAAATGTTTACCGTCATCTGGGCACGGCCAATCACTTTTAGCAGTGCGATTTTACTGTTACATGAAGCCGCTTTAGTTTATGAAGTGCCGACCCACCAATTCCCCAGCTAATGGGTTGATGCGCCACTCAAGGCGCGCCACGACAGGCACGCCTTGACAAGTCACATGGCGAGCGCGCTCGCCATGTGACAACTTGACTGCGCTGTAAACACCACATAAAGAAAAAAAAATTCCTTTCTAAAAAAAAAAAAAAAAAAAAAATTCGCCACAAGAGAAAATACTTTTTTTTCTTCTTGGGTTGGGTTTGTGTGTGTGTGGGGGGGGGGGGGGGGGGGGGGCTTTTTGTTTCATATCATGCAGGATGAACAAAGGTCTTCGCCCTCGGGTTTCCCATTATCGATGCCGTGAACACCACACACACAAAAAAAAAAAAGAAAGAAAAAACAGCAAAAGCGATGACACATTTTAAATGATGAAACCAAGACAAGTGCGTACCGTTTTATTTCTGAGCAGAATAATAATCTGTCCTTTTTTTATATAAAAATGTATATCGTTGAAAAATTTCCTAGAAAAAAATATTTCCGGAGCGAATGCTGCTTGGCCAGCAAACAGAACATTACATTAGTGTAGCTTTTTTTTTTCTTCTCTAAAACACTTGAACTAAGAACGCACGCCGGCAGTCGCCACGTCGTCACGGCGGCACGAGCAGTGCCATCGTTCCCGCAACGACTGCTTCCATTGCACTAAACCTGAACGCAATTGTCCTTTTAAAAATATCTAAAAATAAACAACAACATCAGAACAAGAGCGCATAAAACTAACAACAACATCGACAAAAAATTGTTACGCCGAAAAGTTTCGAAGACCATAACGACGGTAAGCTGACTCGTTCGGCTCGAAATAATAAAGACTGGTGTAACTCTTTTGGGAACATTTGGAAACCTCAAGGACATAGTCCTAAGGTTTGCGCACTTCCGATGCTTCCTGGTTAGAGCCGCAAAGTTCGCAGCTGCTTGCGCAGTTCCACCTGCGTTCCTGGACAGCGCGCCGCACCGCACCGCACGCAAGCCACGCGGGTAATTTCCGACAGTTCACCCGGGGGTAACTAGTACAGGCTGGACGATATCCAGTCCGACGAACTGCTGACCCTGTGGTAGATTCCAGGCTGGTAGTTTTTGGCGCAGGAGTAGCCGGCTGACACGATGCCGATCAGGTAATAGACGCCGTAGTCGTTCAGCATCAGGGGACCCCCGGAGTCACCCTGCGAAGGGGGGCAAGCGGACATAGTTTAAGGCCTTTCTGTACCACCTATTAATCGTTCCTTCTCAAAGAAAACGCAAGCGGGATTTTGGTGGCGTTGCTTCTTACGCTCATTGTTATGGCATCTGCGTAAATTAAAAATTGTAACATAACGCGCCTAAAAAAAAAAAAAAAATTCACAGGGCCTCTTATGTTATCCATAAGACAACTTGAAGGCGAAAGCCCGAGTGCCGGTGCATGAAAGAGACGCACACGATTTACGGATGTGGCTTCAGGCTACTGAACCTAAGGTTGCTGGTTCGAGGCCCGCCAAGGGACGAAAGCGGGCCTCGGTGGTACTTTTCGTTTCGCCGACGTGTTTTCGTACCTTTTGTGTAGAGGACGCGTATTCGCTTAAGGACTTTGAATGTCGATTCAACGGTGAGATATATAAGACTTTCGGCTTAATAAAATACGCATAATGATATCTTTCGGCGCTTAAAGACTAATTGCCTTTACTAGTGGCATCTTTTAAACGCATGAATTATTGAGTACTTTGACGAACGAGTGGCGGAAATTATTTTAGTTAAAAAAATGGTTGCAGAATCCACCCCGCTGGTTGTCTACGATGTGCGAAGCATCGTGTATGAAGACTCACGACGTCACCTACAAGGAGACTGTTTTGCGGCCGCGCCGTTGTCGATCGGCTTTCCGTATACGTTTCAGGCGCCGTTGCCCTCGTCCGCCTTTGTTGCCTATCGGCGACGCTCAATGGCTGCACGGCGCCGTTTCATCTCGAGGAGCTCCTCTTCTGTGGGTGGTCGTGCTTGCGAGGCTCCATCTCATCTGACACGACGAGTCCCTCAAGGTCGGGTTTTATAGACGGTTTTGCGACGCAATCATTGGCGTCAGCGCGACTGCAAAGCGCCAGTTCGAAATGTTTTCGTTTTTTTTTTTTTTTTATAGTTTGGGTGCGAATGTGAAGGAGTGCGTACTGCCGCTCCGTAACGCGCCGCGTGTTTAGCTCCCTTTGTTACGAGGCCAGATAAATCGCGAGAGAGGTGGCTAAGGGGTGCTTCCCATTAAAAAAATTGTGGAATAACCCTCGACGCGCAAAGCACATACTTGTCGATGCGATTTGAATCTCGATCGAACTACGCAAATGATCACCACTCGGCCAACTCGCTCCATTTATGACCCTCGTGGTAATATTGCGGATTCAGAAATCCTAGCGCTAATGAAAAACGTTTTACAATTCAAGCTTTTGTTGCTGCGTAACTTCCTATATCTACTTTATGCAATGACGTATCTGTAGACCCAACATTTTTTACGAGGGCACAAGGAACGATATCTTTGCATTCCGCACAGACTTGTATTTGTTAATAATATCCTGTTCGGGATATTGCATTTAAGACAAACGTGACGGTAAGTTACTGCCACAAAGAAAACTTTATGAGCTAGCCTTACTAGTCTTTATCTGAATTTATTTTTAGTGTCTTCTAGTAATTATTTTCGACTCAATTTCAAGTTCGTAGCAGACACACAAGAACGTTATTTTCAGGAGGTAATTTTTTTTTTCCTTCGGCCTGATACAAATAGATGAGGTAGAAGCACAGCATGCTAAAAGAGGTAACCAACCTATAGGAGTAGCTCGTTTTGGCCCCGGCACGTTTTGATCTGGATGAGCATTATACCGGCGTGCGGTCGTTAATCACCACTATCTGATGCACGTTAAAAACTCGGGCCAGCAGAAGTCCTACACATGCAAAAATTCTTATCTACAGCGGAGTCACCAGACGTCTCTTGGGCATCACAAACTTTCCACTGTCTAACTATAAGCACGATACAATTAATTGAGCTTGCTTTTTGGACGGACACTCCCCTGCAGACATTACGTTGCAATTAACCATAAATCATGTAAATTGTTTTTGTTTTTTCTAAACTACAAAACATGTATCCCGTATGTTTCAGAGCGTTCTCGTGCGAACGGACTGTCCGTGCTTGCCTGGCAGGAGTCCTTGCCCCCACGCTCATATCCAGCGCAGAGCATCTCATCGTGGATGCGAATGTTGATGCCCTGCCGCCGGTGCCAGCTCTCGCAGACTTGGTTGGGCAGAACCGGGACGTGGACGTGTTGGAGCACCCTGGGCCGCACCTTGGAGCCTGCAAGTGGTGCCTCGCATTGTTCACTCTGATCGGGAGGTACAAAGACGCGGCCTCCACAGAAGCTAATATTCTACTGTACTCACGTTTTAAGTGTGTGAGCAGTGCCATAGTTTTTGTGATAGTGCTATTTAAGGCACACACACACGGGATTGTATCAACCAAACTCTTTAGCCACATTTTTAGAGGTGAAGCCAGGGACCTTTTCATAAATGTATTTCAGTCCACGTGCGTCCCTGTTTGTTCGTTTCGCATGAGTATTTTCTGTCCCGTCGCGGTTGTCACTGGTCAAATTCATTCTGGAATACTTTTCGGAGCTGCCAAAAGACACTTTTAGAGCAGCAACAAGGTATTTTGGAGCATAAGCGTGCACTTGATTTTTATTCATACCACTGCAAAAAATATTCATGCGCAGGCCTATCCAATTAAAAGAATGTCTTCTTTAACTTCCGAATCGGGTGCCACTTTTTGCTAGCATCAATTGCGCGGCAGGTTTAATTCGCTCAACACAGAATTAGCCAATCAGTTGTGTGTAGAAGCACTAAACACTAATAGCAAGATACTAAATTATGGAATGCAATCTGAAGTTCTGTGAATGGTAAACTGAATAGTATATTCCACTGAAATGATGTTAGCATATAACGATTTCGAGCACAGGAATTGATGTTTTGTCGAAATTCTAAAATAAAAAAAAAAATTAATTACTAAATTGTTTTAAAGTTGTTATTTTATTATGAACTCTGACAATAGTTTATATGCAGAACTTAATTATTAACAGAAATTGGCACGTAAGCGATAAATGTTCCGTTTTAAAAACGATCGTCACGAACTCGCTACGGTTATTACCAAGCTTCCATCCACTGCTTCAACTAATTTAGTTTTAATTTGCTCTCGACTGTGGTATTGAACAGATGAAAGCGATGCAAAGATGATGACTAAACGAAAAAAGCTGGCATACAAAACAGAAATATAAGAGCAGTCCATTGAACCCTTGAATTACCAAAAGTGTCCTCGCTATACTCCGTTTAAGATCGACGTAAGCCGACGTTACCATTTGATGGAGACCAAGCATCGACATAGCGGTATCGTCATGACACCAGTCCTATTTGGGCGCTTGTTGTCATACACAATGTGCCGCCATCCTTTTGCCTTTTTTAACGCATTAGGGAGCTCGCGTTGCAGAAAATCCAGCGTCTGTGGCGTGACGGAAAAGTCCCGATTGGCCGATAGGGTCATGACTTACAGTCACGATCAGAAGTAATTGGAACACGGGAGCGGTGGCCCAACTGCATTGCCGCGCAATCTAGCTGCGCTCGTGGGAACTGATAGGAAAGTACGCGCATGCGTGCACGCCGGCGCCGATGGCCCCTCTGCTCCTCTCGATCTATTCCTTTACCGGAGGTTCTAATCGTTCCTTGTCACTTCTGGGACGCAACGCTACGTCCCCGATTGCGCTGCAAGCAGACAGCGGGCACGCTTTCCACCCTTGAAGGCATCTTGGTGCAGACAGAAACAGAAAGATTGCTGTCCCACTAAAATATGCTCTCTAATATCTTATCTCGACAAAAATAAAATAAAAACGCCGTTCGTTGCTTGGAACTTATGGCCTTTGTCAGTTTCGCGTGTCATTTTCTGCAGCTGTCGTTGCTATCTACTCGAGAACAATATAAAGATATTTTTTTACGTAGCGATGCGTCACGCCATTGGCGTTTGCCGCGTCATTGAACCAGCACCGATCCGCTTCAGATGATTCTGATAGTGCACCCGTTTCCTCAGTTCGCGCTCGCGGTAAGCGTACTCGTAACGCTGTCGGACGCTATCAGCGCCATCACGTGTCGTATCTGAGAAGCAGCGAAGGATTATCTTGATCTCCGGTAAAAGAGATAGATAGAGCGGTACAGAGGGACTGTCGGCGCCGGCATGAATGCATGCGCTTAGTCTCCTATCAGTTTCTACGAGCGCGGATAGATCGCGCTGCAAAGCAGTTGGGCCACCGCTCCCGTGTTCCAATTACTTCTGATCGTGACTGTACGTCACAACCACATGACCTCGCGCCGGTATTTCAAACAAACCACAACGCTCACGTGAAACACGACGTCACGCGTTGAATGAAAGTGATTAAGAAACATTGCACGTGATTAGAACTAAAGGTAGCCGCACGTCTCAAATGATTTCACTTTATAAAGTATATCATTTGCCTTAAAGCAAGAACAAAAAAGGAACTGAAGAATTTTAGGCGGGATTCGAACCCACGACATCCTAGGTCGCGAGCCATACACGCTACTAACTGGGCCTCGCAAAGCACGCTTGCACGGTGAACGAGAAGGCGATGCGAGCGGGGCCCGATTTCGCTATCGCGTTCCAATCTTCAAGGTGAAGCTTGAGCTGTAGAAGGGTATGTACTTGGGCTAGTTGGTGATCCATTTTTGTGAGGGTAAAAGCGCTAAAAACAAGCTTAAGCGTCCTCCAAGTTTTGTACGTGACCGGTTTAGCCGGTCATAGCAGACGCTCAAAGACGACCAGCGCCATGACGATGCTCTTCTCACGCCGACTGAGTGGCCCTATCGTACCGTAGCATCGACAGCGATCAGTCTAGAAGTAAAAGTATTTAAATCATTAAAACAAAAAAGAAAATAATTTCAGAATATCCCAGCCTATCAGATACACTAGGTGTGGTTTATATTATAAAATCATGTGTTACGTCTCGCTCTTGAAGAGTGCTTTCCCTCTAGCACACGGGTGTGCCGCGGCAAAGCAAGACGCGCGGTGGCTCTCCCTCCACTGTGGTACACCAGAACGCGGTGCGAAGCGCACTCATCGAATTCCACTATCCCTCCAGAACACACCTCGAATATAAATATTACGAAACGTTCGAGTACTGTCAGTGTTCGATACGGAGATCAGATCGAATAGCGTGCTCTCAGGCGATAATCGAACGTTCGAAACAAATCTCGCAAACCTAGCGTAACAATCAGGCCGTGTAGCGGGCTTGATATATATTGTCCGCATTAAAAAAGGGAAAGTTACTTTTGCCGCAATGTTTGCGTAAATTTCTCACATTTTAGCAAAATACGTTAGGGTGCAGCATAGTTAAGGCCTTTCGCGCAGCACGAATGGTACGGAAATCGCAAAGTTCCGGAAGCAAAGGCCTGCCACCCTAGCTCAGAAGAATGCCTTGTTTTCACGAAAGCTCGCGCATGAAAGAACATTGCAAATGCTACGCTCTCGCACCCGTGCCTTTGCCAGCACTACGGATGTTTGTAAGATGGAGTTATGGTGTACCTTCTAGTACACCGCAGTACACCATAATGGAGTATTCACCGATGTTTGTTTGCAAACAAGCTCACTACCACCCCCTATCGGCAAACCCTGCGCGTTTCCGGTCTTCCTCTTTGTTTTGTCTCGTAACCTTTTATTTCTACTACGTTCTACAATCCGCGCAGATTCGTACAAACGCGTAACAGTTACTTCTCTGACGGAAGATCTCCTACCCGATCCCTGTGCGTTGCCGAAGAAAATATAAATACATTACCGGAAGTCTACTGGGCCATCAAATACTGTGGCGCCCTCGCGGTACCAACTCCCGCCAAATGCGGTGAGTGAACCGATTTTCTCCGATTCGTTGGACATTGGCGTCGCGTTCACGCATCGTGGTATGCATGAGTGCTTTCGGAAAAATAAATAGACATCCGACTTTTTTGTTCCAGACAATTTTGATTTCCTTTTGTTCCGCAGCTCGTGAAAGCGCGTTTCCCGGCACAAGTTCTTGGCATGCTGACAGCGCTACGACGGCACTCGCTCGAAAGATGTGTGCCGAAAACATACTTCTCCCGAGCGAACAAGTGTGTTTCGGGTCCTCGTCGATGCCAAAGCTGTGCGCTAACGTCTAGGTTCCCCGAGAAATAGCCCTTTGATGCTCTGTGCTACCAGATCCTCGCGCTCCAAATCTGCGATCGGACACTCTATGGCTCCGTCGCCGAACGGCAAGGCTTTGTGAGTATAGAGGAGACTATGGATTTGTCCTCTGGTGCACCAAACTCACGAGATGAGTGTTAGCATTGAGAAGCTCGCTAGGGGCGATTCTATTTTCCTGGCGAGTGCACCTGCTACCCACGCGGTTCTGTCTTAATTTTCATAGTACATAGAAGCTTGGCATTGCAGGTGTTTGCCCCAGCAGAGGAAGTTGAAGTTTCCTCACTCTGGGTTGTGCGAAAATTCCACCAGCTGACGATACCTAAACTTCGCGCCTCGAGTATAAACCCCCTTTATAGAATTTTTTCATAGAGAAACCTAATTTTGAGAACATGTCGATGAGCCTCCTTTTTGCAAATTCGGTCGCCGCGGAGCCGCGTGTACCGGTGGGTCAGGTGGCTTAACATTTTTGTAATGAGCCGCCACAGACTGTCGCCATGAAGCTTCGTGGAAAGGGAGGGGGGGGGGGGGCCGAAGGGGGGGGGGGGGTTGTCAAGGTCAACACGTGTTCTAGTCATGCACGCGCGAAGAAAGGAAGCCTTTTCCTAAAGAGCGTCCCCTCTTCGATAAGCGGAGTGTCCCTAAACTGAAGCCCACGCTTTTTCTATACAGAGTTTCGATAAAACGAGCCAGTTCTTTAGAACGTGTTTCGATGAAATGGCGCTCGGACTCTGGCACGCTCTAGTTGCCTTCCGTAGTGCCCTGGCATTGAACGAGTGCGCGCTTGAAGCTCTCGAGACGCCTAAGTGTTGTCAAAGGTAGAAATCTCAGGCTGGATGCTGGAAATCTGAAGGATTTCCTGCCGTTCTCATATTGGTGACGTGCGCGACCGTGTGATCGGCTATCCACGACTGGTCGAGCACCCACTGTGACGCCTTGAAAGGGATTTGATGTTGCCTTCATCGACGAACACTAGTGTAATGTCAGTCTTTCGGACTTTGGAAGTGTTTGTATTTAAAAAAAACACAAAAAACATCGCATTTTTCGCCTACAATGTGCGAAGAAATGAAAGCGGTAGCTGTGGTATGGTCGCGCAACGCGGGTGGAATGGTGCCGTCACGTACATGAGGACTTATCCACGCTGTCGTGATTCGCACTAACGACTGTCACCAGTGATCCGTGAAGTAAAAGGGTGAGCGCGGTGGAAGTTTCTAAAAAACATCCAATATTACGCGTAGCAACTGGATGCTGCCAAAGTGAGATTTCGCATAACGCAAGTAATGTTTGAAAACAAGTTCTTCAGGCAGACGACGGGAAGGCTTTCTTTGACGAGCCGTTACTGACGGGATTCCGGGACTGCCCTCCCTTCTCTCGCTGTGCTGCGTTGTCGACGGAAAAAAACCCGACGTCCCTCGACTCACGGCAAGGTCGGAGAGAATGGGTTTTTCATAACCGCGACGGCGGCGACGAAAGCGCAAGAGCTCGAAAACTCTGCACATTGTCGCCCGTAAAGCTGTTGCTTTAAAAAATTATTACTCCCAGCTTTCACCGAGATTTTTACACACACCATCAAACAGTCATTTGCAACTAATCACAACAAGCCAGGATCACAATTCGCGACGCCACGGGGAGAAAAATCCCGTTCGTGACGTCAAGGATGGGAACCATAAGAGGGCGCCACGAAAACCTCTCCGTACTAATAGAAAATGAGGAACGGTGTCACGTGCCGGGTTCAAGGGCGCCCCAGCCGGCGGCTTCGGCGACCCTGGTGACGAAGTGGGCGTCTTTGGGCGGCAGGCAGATGGGCAGGATGTTAGGCTTGTACACCACGGGTCGGTCCAGCACGAGCACGGCCACGTCATAGCGGTCGGCCTGGGGCGTGAACCGGAAGTTGGGGTGGATGCGGATCTGACGCACGCCAAACGTCTCGCTCGGGATGCTCTCCACGTCCGAGTTGAGCACGTAGTCGCCCAGCGTCACTCGGATGCTCGAAGGGTTGTACTGGTATCTGCGGGCAAGCGGGGCGCCGAACCATCAACACTCGCTAATGAGGAGTCTTCCAGAAGGCTTAGAAGGGAGCCAGGTCATATTCACTCTCTTTTACAGGACCCCGGAAATCTGCTCTTTGTGTGTAAAAAAAGAAAATACGTATAGCAAGATACAACTTCAGAATACAAATCACACCCCAATGGCCCGCCTGATTCGGTTTGTTTGGAACGTTGGCATTTGTAAAGATGTTCTCGTAAGGTTTTTTTTTTTTTTTCAGTACAAGCGACACAGAAGACAGAAGCTACAAATTAAAACATGCAAATTAAGAAAAAAAATGGAGAGGCGCAGTCAAGTATTTGGGGCATAACTCCTTAATAATAAGCCCTAAACTGGGAATAAATAAAAGAAATGACGTTTGTGATTGACTACATTTATTTGTTTCAATTCTACGAAATGCACCTTTCCGATGTGTCCTGCCGCCTATCGGGACATCCGGGTTAGAGATGGAGTGGCGAGAACACAGCGCGTTCGCAAGGCTTGTCAGACTCCTTTGACTGCGGCCTTTGGTTACCTTCGTATCATCTCCCGGATTTCTAGTCCCATATTTTCGGGATGAGCAAATGGCTTGCGTTTCAGGCGCACCACTGAGCCGTCATCCCCCAAACCGTACGAACTCCTCCCAGGACCACAGTACACTAGTCCATGCCGCTTGCCTCAGAAGAAAAACACTGTTAAAATAGAAGAGAATAGCCGACACCGTACAAAGGAAAACTATTTAATCTCATAAAATAAATGACAAAACAGTCAATTGAGACAGATAGGCTCTCGAAGTGACCACGCCATGATTGTTGTTGCCTCTACCCTCCCACCCGATCAAGTTTTGTTTCCTCCTATTTTCGTCAATATACTTGCGTGTGTCGTTTCGTGTTGACGTTTGAGGAGGGTGAACGGCTTGATTTTAAAACAAATTGGCACGCGCAAAACGAAAAAGAAAAAAAACACTTCCCGCGAAAAGGGATCGGTAAACGAGGCTTGTGCAAAACATACAAGGTGGCAAATCTGTTTCGGGAGCACGCAAACTCGAGCCCAAGATCCTTTTGAAAATAAGCGCGGCAAGAAAAGGACAGAAACTAAGAGACAACACCAAGCTTAACTTTCAACTGACTGCTCCTCTTAGTAAAAAAAAAATATATATATTTATACACCCCAATCAGGGCTCTCAAGCAGGAATTCAAATTTTTTATCTGTTAAATGAACTGTCGAGGCACTTATGCATCTTTCATCCTCTTGCAATGTTATGTTGAATAACACGTCCAGTTTTCTCAAGATCTTGTCTCTTAACTTCCCCAGAATTTTAATTGCTCTACAGTTCAGGGGCACAAGGGCATCTATCATAAAGAGTAGCTAAGTTGCCCAAGGGGGAATTCCTTGAATGGGTGATGCAACGATTTTTGTACTTCGCGCAAATACCGCTTAGAAGGGATCCCAGACATTAATGACCTGTGAACCACCCATTCGGTTTTCACCACACGCAATCGAAGTCGCAGAAAGAGTTGGAAAAAAAAATGAACAGCGTTCACCCTTTCATCTGGCAGCAAGTACAAGTGGCCACGTAATCTGGAGCCGAAAAAAAAATTGGGTTGTGTGTATGTTTATACAGCCTAGAACTTGGTCTGCCTCACAGGGGCGACGAGTCTCCCAGCTGTAGATGAGAAATTCAGCCAGTGCGGTACAGCCGCTAGCCTGGGGTCTTTAACGTGCATCACGCAGTAGTGATACACGACCGCACGCCGGTACGATGCTCATCCAGATCGAAACATCTGGAGCCGATTATATGCCGCCAATGTTGATCGTAGCCACGCGCTGGGGTTGGCAAGGCACAGGACACGCGGCGAGTTCCAGACATGGTTATGGTTCGGCTATTGTCATCATTGCAACGAATGGACACGGGCCACTACCCAAACGCTTCTCGAGCTATTGAGTATCACGAGCCAAATCGAGTGCCCACGCAATACTCGGGTCCAATCTATGGGCCGCATTCAAATATCGTCACTGGAAGATACTGCGATCCCATAGCTACGTCATCAAGGGCGATCGGTGGCCGGGTGGGTTAGCTCGGAGCACGTGTAGCAAAATCTCGCGCTGCAGAACCCGGTGATCCTGGATTCAATCCCCACCCCTGCCCGCTTCAATCATGATGAACTTCGTACCAGCGCGCGGTCGTGTATCACTACTGCGTGGTGCACGGTAAAGACCCCAGGCTAGCGGTTGTACTGCACTGGCTAAATTGCTCATCTACAGCGAGTGACTTGTCGCAACTTTGAAACGGCTGACCAACTACACGCGACCAAACTTTTTACGTCATCAAGTTTCGCGAAGGAGAGACTGAACGAAAATTCTCTGTTTCGTCCCTGAAATTACACCGCAATAAAGGAGTTTCTCTGCCAGTTGCGTCTCGTGCGAGTATCCTCGAGTCCCACTAGTGAAATTAAGATCGTGTGAAGTGAAAAGCATTCCAACTGAATATCGCTGCACCGCCCCTTTAATACCCGTGCCACACGGGTAACTCTAATGCCATTTACAACGAATGACATTTCAGCGGACATCCAATCAGCGAGCGACACTCCGGGCGTAGCGCATTCCACGCGCGACAGATTGCGAGCTGATTCGCCGATCACACAAATGTCATTCGTTTTAAATGGCACTCGAGTTGCCCGTGTGCACGGGTATAAGGCTCTGTTATATACTCCGACGTTGAGCATAGCAAACGCGGCGTAGCGCAGCGCCCAGAAATGCCGATTGGTCTCAGATATCGAGGTTCGCTCGCCGGGCAATGAAAGGCGCACGTTCTGCGCTGTGCCTGCGTTTGCTGCGCGCAACGTCGGAGTAATACCCGTGCCACACGGGCAACTCGAATGCCATTTACAACGAATGACATTTGTGTGATCGGCGAATCAGCTCGCAATTTGTCGCTCGTGGAATGCGCTATGCCCGGAGTGTCGCGCGCTGATCGGCCGTCCGCTCAAGTGTCATTCGTTGTAAATGACATTCGAATTGCCCGTGTGGCACGGGTATCAGCGCCTTTACTGACAGCGCGTGCTCCGGGCCCTGTCATTGACCCACCTGCCCGTTTAAACCACGTACGGTTTACCGCAAGTCATAGTAATCTCCTACATGACCGATGAGGCACAAACTACGTACTGCTTATACACGTGTCCCACTAGAGCGACATACAGAAACAAAAGACAAAGACAGGCCTCAAACCAGAGTCTTTCGCGATTTGAAACGCTTTGTAAAGTAACGGAGGCTATGCTGAAACACGAGCATCATGCACGCGAGGGTATCTTTGGCAGGCTTGCAATCGCTCGTGCTTACTTCGCGAGCACCGAACGACTAAACGCCTGCCAAAGGTACCATCACGAGCATGCTTCATGGGTTTGAGGCTTGTCGCTGTCTTTTGTCTCTGTCTGTCGCTCTAGTGGGACACGGGCATTAGAGTGTTTCTTTATGCACAAAACACCTTTGTACTTTTTTGTTAATTTTTCAGCAAACAGACAGTTTTTCTGGGGACGAAAACACTACCGGCACATACAAATGCGACGCCGATTCTTTTTGGTTGTGTGAAATCGTTTGCATATATGGTATGACGACGGGTCTTACTTCCTGTTTTAGATGCCCGATTGGGTGTACTAATAGTTAGTGTTACTTCAATAAACAGTCAATTGAAAGTAGCGCTTAGTGTGTGTTGTGTCATTACTTTTGTCCCTGTCTTGTGGTGCTTATTGTTAAAAGGAACTATGTAGAACTAGACCACGTGTCACAACTGATGCAATTTATTCCCTCTACAGCGGGCTCTGCCTTAACACTTAACAACAGACCGGTTACGATAACTCAACATGTCAGCCTTCTAGCAACTTCTACTGCAGGGCTAGGCATTATGCTCACGCCATGCGTACAGGAACATACCCACCGGAGTTAACGGGGCTCTTCGAGGGCGTTCTGCCCTCAGCGGGGAATGCAAAAAGAATGTTTCGAATATTTTGCTCGGAGATATGGAAACAAGCGGGCTGGTATCGATACTGTCTGCGGATGTGATGTCATCAGTCGAGTCCCAACGAAAGGTCTGCTGAGAAGGCCTTAGGTGATCACCTTCGGCTGGCGTCGCAGGTGATGGAGTTCCTGTGGGAGAGCCTCAGTTTTACCCTGCCCATGAGTATGAAGGCATGCGCTCTAGCACCTTGTCCGGTTCTCTTTCTGGGGCATGCGTCGGTGACGAAGAATGTGACAGAAGTGCTCTTGGGAGGGCCCAAGTACCGTCTCTAACCGTACCCAAACCCGATCGAGAAGTTGTGCATAGCGAGGGTTCTGGTCGAAAGAGCCGAACCAGAAGAGAGGGAGAGTTGTACCTCGGAGGCGGTTGACAACCTGACATACAAATCGGGCAAAGCAAAAGAGGGTACTAAGAACGGTATCAGTGGTTTCATACTTCCAGGAGAACAAACTCAAGCTTCTGACCGGAGATAAGAAGGGCGGCTTCACAGTGCTTCCTGGGGGCCTTTTCGAAAAAAGTCAGGGACGGACTTCTTCAGAACTTCAAGCAAGTGGAAAAGGTGTCGCTTAACAAGACCAAGACAGCATCCAAGGAGCTTTTTGAAGGACTGTGATTGAACCGACTAGCGAAGAATGTTGAGGTGTCCAAAAACCTTAGCTCGGAAGTTTTGTTTTTTTTTTCCTCCACGACTCGAAGAATATTGCACGTTTAGGGCGCGAGCGTCTGAAAGGGACTCGTAGCAGCGAGAAGTTGGGGGGTTGTTGGGCACATAGCTTGTGGGTCTTGATATGAGGGATCCGTTTTCGGATTTGGAATGCGGAGGCGGCCAGTGAGCGATGCCACCAAGCTAACTGCGCCTGAGCGCGCATTCCGGAAGTGGTGCCACCGACATGCTACTTGTAGTACTCGCTTTCCGGCTTCCCGGCTGCATAGGGCTGTCGTGCCCGTACATCCTCGTGCATAATTGTTTGGTAGGCCCTGGTACCAGTTTGGATTCTCCTGCATGTCAGAACTTCATAGGATTCTGTTTCTTTGTGATGCCTTTTAGTTTGTCAGCAAGCGCAAAAAAACAGTTCCAGTCGTCGTATAACTTTACAATCGCTTTGTCGTCTGCTTCGTCATTGGCTGCTTCTTCGTCTTCGTCAACGCGTGAGCTCATTGCGTTCACCCGGTGGTCCTACTGCGGCCGCGGGAAAAACGACGACTCCACTAGTCGAGCACCCCGGCTGCTCAGAAGTCTTCTTGAACTTGTAAACAAGTGAACATCTAATTAAATCTAGTTCAATGCCAAAGACTCCCGGAAATTCAAGGAACCTTTGGCTCGGTGTAGCACCAGAAAACAACATCGAATGTGTTGGTTGAAAACTGAGTTTGGTAGTGCTCAGGCTTGTGCATAACGTTTAATCGACAATGAAGCAAAAAGTACTAAATATGCTTTCTCGGGGAGCAATATTTTCCCCAAATTTGTTACATTCTGATTGACAGCCTATGCGTCAGACAAACATGTACGTAACGCGTTACTAGTAAAGAGTTACTTCTTAGTTAATATTTTTGGTAGCGAGTAACCTAGTTAGTTACTTTTTTAGAGAGTGAACAAGTAACGTGCGTAGTTACTTTAAGGGCCAAGTAGCGAGTAACGGTATTTCATTACTTTTGAGGAGTGAAGTGTACAACACCATTTGAAAAGCCTAATTTTAATTCTAACCCAGGTATGCGTCTCCTGCGACAAAGGCATATCGGAAAGCCAAAAAATAACTAATACGTACGGCAGTATAGCAACGTATGCATCACTGAACACGTCAGTCGAACTCCACGGCTGGAAACATCCTTCACCCAGCGAACACAACGAGGTTCGTTGGTCGAACCTTCTAGAAACGAACAGTTTGAATGTAAACCCGGAGGTTACCAGCACGGGAAGGCACAAAACACATTGTCAACTTCGAACTTTTGAATTAAAGAAAACGAAAAATCGAGGGTATATCCCAGATTCACCAACTGTTCCAAGCACAAATCCTGGCGTTTCTTCGAGTGCGTCCGTAGAACGACTCTTCAGCGCCGCCGGAAATCCATTCCCAATAAAGCGGGAAAACATAACCAATCAAAACTTCTAAAGTCCAGCGGCTACTGCAAAGAAAACAGACTATAAAACTGTATTTGGTCATCAAAGTAGCGAGAAAAGTAACTAGTTATTTTAAGGTAAAGTAACGCGTTGCGTTTGGGAATCGGTAACGAGTAACGCATTTAGTAACTTTTTGAGCGAGTAACGAGTAGCGGTATTTAGTTACTTTTTTGGGTAGCGTGTACATGTCTGGCAATAGGGTACAGATGAAATGCAAAAAGAAGCCCGCAAAAAAAAAAAAAAAGAAAAAAAGAAACGAGACGATTTGCAGAACGACCACGCCTCACGTGCCGTTACAACTCGCATCTGTCAAGAGGTATCAACTAGAGCCACTAAATGAGCTGCGCTTACCCCGTTCTCCGGCATTGTTGTGGGCGTCGCCATTTTGGTGCTTGTGCAGAACAGATGCAACTGCCGATCGTCATGATTCGAAAGTGCGACTTCCTCAGCATTGGATTCGGTGTTAGGAAGCTCATGTAATATTGCTTTGCTTTGTCCCGAACTGTTATAACATTTGTGGAGGACGGAAAAGCGTTTTCTGTGATTTCAGATAAAGCTCTGAATAACAGGCAAACATGATTTTAAGCCACAGTGTGGCCAAGTGTCGTTACTCTGAAGCATAACTTATTTAGTGGCACAAGACGCAACTATGCCAGATACCTGAAAACTTTGGGTGAAAATTAGTTTTCATGTACAGTTTCTATCCAGTTTTATTTGCTTCGAACGCTAACAGTCGCCCGACGGTCTTAAGCTTTTTCCTGCGGTCTCGATTGGTGATAATGCAGAATGGATCAGTAAAGCCAACCGAAATTAAGTTGTGGCATAATAAACCCCTACAAGCTGGGCAAGGTTCGTTTGCTACATTTTTGGCGGCAAGTGTTTCTTTTCTAGATTGCGTTACGCGGTGTTTTTACGTTTTGTTAAAAAAAATAGATTGCTTTCAAAAAAGTTTTTATTTCAAGTGATGCGTATCGGGAATCGCTGTTCCTTTTTAGTGAATATCCGGACCTTTTGAAGCATTGTGTGCTTAAAACATGTAGTTACAATAACTGTTATAACCACCAAAATACATAAGCAAAAAAGTGTATTAAAGGAGCTGTGCAACGATAATCAGTTGGAATGCTTTTCACTATACACGAGCTTACTGGCACTAGTGGGACTGAAGGATACACGCACGCAACGCCACTGGCCAAGAAACTCCTTTGTTGCGGTGAAATTTCAAGGACAAAAGCAATTATTTTCGTTCAATCTCTCCTTTGCAAAATTAAATGACGTAACGTGGGAATCGCAGAACACCCAAGTGGCGATATTTTAATGCGGTTCATAGATTGGACCCGAGCCCTGCGGCGGCACTCGATTTGGGCTCGTGATAATTACTTGCTGCAGAAGCATTCGGGTAGTCGCCCGCGTCCAATCGATGCAACGACGAAAACAGCCGAGTCATAACAATGTCTGGAACTCAGCGCGTGTCCTGTGCTTTGCCAACCCCAGCGCGTGGCTATGATCAACATTGGCGGCATATAATCCGGCTCCAGATCGCGTGGCCGCTTGTTCTGGCTGCGAGTTGAGGGGTGAACGTTCTCGTTTTTCTTTAATTTTTTTCTGGGACTTCTATTGCGTGAAGTGAAAAACGAACGCGTGTTTCATAGGTCACTAACGTCAGGGATCTGTTCTAAGCGGTATTTGCGCAAAGTACAAAAATTGTTGCATCGCTCCTTTAAGTACAGGCGCCGCAAAGCAGTGCAGAGACTCCGATTGAGATAGACCAACGGATAGACCGCTACGCAGCATGTGCTCAGGGAGATTCCAACGTACGGAACACTTCGACCCGCCCTTCTATGGCTCGGTCGCTGTGATCTTGTACACCTTAGATAACATGCAACCGGGTTGATATAAATTGGGAAGCAATTCTTGAAACAAATCGAAAAACGCTCTTTTGTCTGCCACTGTGTCCGGCTTTGTTTACCTTCGTTAGCCACTTTTTTCTGGAGCTGCTCTCTTTCGAGACGACACAAAATCCGATGCATTTTCGCCTGGTGCTGTTATTGTAGCATACCAACCAGTAACGCATAGATTTCAGAATTAACACTCAGCTTTGGTCTTGTACAGTGCGGGGAGCTGTGCAGTGATTTTGTTAACAGTAATTAGAACCTTAATGCTCAAGACACTGTCTGTTGAACAACTAGTCATTAAACTCTGTTTTAAGAAGCTTTAGTGCGACCGAGGCCGAGTTGTGCAGTGTTTGAAAATGATCCGATTCAATATTTATTGGCCTAGAGAATTGAGCGAAGGTATCGTAAATGGAACTTTTCTTACTAAGATAAAAACCGCTAATTTTGAGCGTGCATAAAGCGAGATAATTTTGAATTTTCATATTATATAAAAAAATGCCTGGTTCGAAAATGCCTTTAGAGCTCATAAAAAGCGTATACTTCAAGAATTATTTCACGGTTTCCGATAAGGCAAATTTGTTGTCAAGTCCTAGGCAGCAGGAGCTAACGTTGTTGGGCAACCACTAAAAACGCTCTGGGCTGCTGATGTCCGGGAGAATACTACATGCCACATCAGAAAATGGCAAATAATAACAGCTAATGCCTTCAGCGCAGTGCTGTCGTAAGCAAAGGAATAAAACTTCGTCTATATAATCGTGCTAGACATGCCTACCTTTTATCCTTATGCCTTGCTCACTATAAATTATTTAAAACAATCAGTATGCAATATTGCTGTCCTTCTTAACGTCCGTAGAGCTCTTGACGCCTTGTATCCAAACCCAACACAGTGACAATGCTGGTTCTTACTTGGCGACACAATGTCCCGCTGTGACGACATGCTGCCTGGAGACGAGGGTTCCACCACACCGGCTTCCGGAGACTTGAATGAACGCCTGCCAGGGAAACTGGCCGAACTCTGCTTCCTTGCCTCCCACGATCCGGCTGATGCGACCTCCACTACGCCCGCAATCTGAACAGATGAAGAGGAGCGAAACAGTAACGTATGTTTTCTTTCTCGTACATTGCATGCAGAAAACACTCATAAACATACGGTAGTGAAAACAACTTAATCTTGAACGCTGTTGCATGAATGGAACGCGTGCGGATGCGTACGCAGTGATGTCGAGCAGCGACCGTGTTACTTGCTTCAACAGCGTCGCCTGTGACTGCTCTTGTTTCACTTACAATCGTTTAGTCGCATAGCGTCTTATAATGAGCCACCTCCTGAAGCACGGCATGCCGGCTGAAACTTGGAGTCACTGACCACATGATATAAGGGAGATATTTTTGAAGGCAACTTTTGATGATGCATCTTTGAATGGCTTTAACTTCTTTAAAACACAAAGTACAAGTTGCACTGGAGTATTTTATTCACACCAACGAATGCAGTAAAAAGGAAAATAAACGCCAGGCTTCACCTTTGCAGTTTTACTAGAAATAAGACTGAACTAAACTGTGAATAGGGCAAACTAGACATTCACCAGATAAGTGAATGGAGGGCAAGGGTCACTACCTTCCTCATCTTCGATTATTCCTTTAGACAGTCACACAGTTTAGTACTACTAAAATAATTGCTTTGTGAGTGTTATAATTTGTAAAAAGGATCATTGCTTCGGAACTTTTAATACCCAGACCATCGTCGCAATCGGGCAGTGCACATGGGTGCACGACTGGTAAGCAAAATGCTAAGGTCTTCGTTCTTCTACTGCTGTTTGCAGAAGGGATGGCGCTGGCAAGTGACCGTCAACATCGCGGTACGTCACCCATTCTCTGCTGCATCCCCGCTGAGCAAGCCTGACATCGTCGCCCCTGGTCCGATGATCAATTCACATAGAGCCGCTCTTCGTTCAGCCTACAACAACGTCAACAATACCGTCCTGAAGACCAGCGCATACAAACAGCGAACCATAATACGAACCATCGTCACAATCGGCCAGTGGGTATGGGTGCACGACTACCATGCAGAACGTTAAGCTCTTTATTTTTCTACTGTGCAGGTTAGTAAAAGTGAGAATCATCCATGTTTTAGATCAAACTATGTGTGTATGTTGTACTTCCATGCCCATAAACCTGTCTCGAGTAATTTCGAGAGTTACTTTTGATGCTTTGTGGGGATGTAGTGGTTAACCCAGGAGACCTATGTTGCGCTTTTTGGATTCCCAAGGCGACTAGGAAGAAGGAAGTGACGTCTACAAAGCAAAAAACGCAGATCTGATGTTTCTTCTGCGGAAATTCGTCATCAGCGACTCCCACTAATCAACATCCAATCTTCGTTTGCTGCGTTGTTAACGTCACTTCCTTCTCCATAGTCGCCGTGGGAGTCCAAAAAGCGCAACATAGGTTTCCTGGTCCCGTGAGTGAGAAGCAACTAGGGCAGTTTATTGAAATGTGGTTTCTTCAAGACCTAAACGGTCGTTCGGCGAGGTTCGAGGAAATTCGAGGAAGGTGAAAACGCTGTGCTAGCTTCTATTAACCAAGTAATAGTAAACCTAAAGTAAATTTAAAAAAAAAAAACTCGGATCTTGTAAGAAAAAGTAACGACGGTGGGATCCAGAACTGCTGCGCTGGATGACACGCACCAAAAGCTGTCCGAAGCACATCAAACTGTTGCCACAATTGAAAAGAGATAACCGCCATTTAAATTCGAGACAACGATTATGTAAGATTGGTTGCGGAGGAATAACCTACTCTTTCACAGTATCAATGACAGCGCCCTGGGAACGTGGTCGCATTCAGAAAATACGGTGATATCTTGCTTATTAAATCTTTTGAATATACAAGTATCGCATAGACAAGTATCGCATAGACAAGTATCACGCGCTCATAGAATGTGGAGTTTTGTTGCTGAAAAATTTCTCCCTGTAATTCTACATTCCGAAGCTTTCAAAGTAAGGATCACATTCTTTCGAGCCGTTCAAAACTAGATTGCGGAAGTTTTTCGCCCAGACACGGGGGTGGCGAGAAAACGTTTAATTGAATACAAAAATAGAGAGGAATTATTTTGTAATTTTTTTTCGTGTGTTCACTCTCCTTTGTAATGTACCTTATACGTTGAGGGTAAATAAATAAATCATGTAGTGTTCCTAGATAAATTGGCTAATAAATCTTAATAAAGGCAGATTGAAGGACCCGGTTTGCCCGAACATTGAAAAACCAAACCTATGTGTATTCTCAGGTGTTCGGCGGTTTAAAACTCTGGTTCTTCAACGGCAGCACTGAATTTCTAACCGCTTCACCCCTATTACGCAGCATTCGCAAATATTGAAGGTTGCAACAGGTTAAACTAATCATACAAGTATAGTTGTCAGAGGAGAAGCATTCACAAACCCCATTGTTTCTAAGAAAGTGCTACTCACTCATAATATATATATATTACATTATTACCCTGACGCAGTGCGGGACCTTCTGGTAGGAGGAAAGTTTAGCTCTACCTTCTAGGAAAGCCCAGCACAACCTTCCGGTAGGGGGTTTTCCCAGGAATTAAAATTAAGGGGGGGGGGGGGGTATAAATGTCTGGGGATATGGGGTGGAGGAAGAAAAGGGGGGGGGGGGGGGGTAAAAGGAGGCTTTTTTTTTTTTACTCTACTTATTTCACTCTTTTTCTGTTTTTTTTTTTTTCCTGCATGTGAGCAGAGATGGAAGCGTGGTGCCCGACAAACGTTCTGGAACTCTACGTTCAACATGACAGTTTAAACATATAATGAAGAATGCGTAATTTCCGTTAGAAAGCACAAAGTGAAGCAAAAGGCAACGCCAAAAAATATAGTCATGGTATCAATACTGAGATACCGCAATGAATGTCAGTAACGAATATATATTCAACGGGCAAACCCCTCCTTCATTCTACTTCACGTCAATGAGAAGAGGAGCCAAAGAGCGAAGCAGCGCGGAGGAGAGGCGACGAAACGGCTTGTGCTCTGATGCAACTGTGACGTTACTCCATATAGGAGCCCCTTTTGCACCAGCGCGCTCAATAAAAGCAAAAGTTTCGCGCAAAATGAATATGTTTTTTGTGTGTTTTTTTTTTTTTTAGCGGAAGATTTTTTTAGGTGCAAAACAAGGGGAATGTACACCCCCCCCCCCTTTCCCTCTAGGAGGTGGGTAGGAAAATTACTGGGTCTAGCACTACCTTCTGGTAGGAAGGTCCAGCAATACCTTCTGGAAGGAAGGTTCGGTATATACTTAGTCATTTCCAACTCACAGGGGTCGTTCTTGACGGGACCGTAGTAGCGGGGCTTGATGATGGCATCCGAGGGCGTGATGCAGCAGGAGAGCAGCGGTCCGCAGGAAGAGCCCAGCGATCCGCCGGCCATCCAGCACTGCAGGAAGAACGTGCAGCGCGCCCCTCCGAAGCACACGTCTGAGCCGCTGCCCGTCCTACCGGGACGCGCGAACGGCGGCCGACGCAGGAACTTGCCCAGGCCGCCCGCCGACGCCGACGCCGCCGGCTGGTAGGCCGGCCGCTGAGCCGCGTCCGCTGCCTCTTCGTGCTGCGGTTCAGGCTGCTGCTGCTGTGCGGGGACAGCAGCAGCTGCTTGGTGCTCCTCTGGACGGTTTGGTTCAGCAGGATTCAGGAGATGGTACTCGGGAAGCTTCAGCGTATGGGGTTCCGAGCTGTCTAAGGAATGTTGTTCGGGATGATTCAGTTGAAGCGGTTCGGGACGATTGAGATGAAGCTCTTCGGGACGATTCAGATGAAGCTCAGCTGGACGATTTATACTTTGCGATTCGGGATGATTTAGGTAGTGCGGTTCTCTGAAGTGTTCCCGTGGCGGTCGACGTGGTGCTTGCGGCGGCGGCGGGGGGTGAGCGCAGGGGCTGGGGCCGAGGCTTGTAATGGTAGTAGTGTTCCTTGGGAGGCACACGGTGGTATGCGTGGTACGGTCTGGAAGGGTAGTAGTGTCCGTTGTAGCGATGGTGGTGGTGGTGGTGATAAGGCCGCAAGGAGGGTTTGGGCCGTCGATGAATGTGGTGGACAGGGCGGTACACGAACGGTGCCGCGTGATAGGAGTCGACATATTCTGCAAAAAAAAGAAAACAATTGGATTTAGCATATGATGGTAGACGCGTAATTTATTCTCAGACAGTGTACCTCATTTCGATGTGTCTTTCGGGTGCTGTATCAGTACGAGTTAGAGCCTCCGGTGACTGAGGTTCTTTCATGGCGCTTCAGCAGGGGAGGAACTTAAACGGGACATCAATGTATAGCGCGTCACCTCAACAAATTTGCACTTTTTTCACCTTAAAAATGAGGTACGCATCGCCCTGAACGCTCAATATCCGCCGAAATGTAGCGCTAGCGGTCCAGACAAGAAGTCAAAGTTTCAGAAGTAACCGTTACTTCATTCAGAAGTTGTAAGTGATTTTCTGAAACTTTTAATGGAAAAAAGGTCCAGTTCGCGGTACCCTGCCCCCTCCAACCCCGTGTATTCGCGGCCGTTGTAGGCCACTATTTTACCATCAAAGATGTTAAAACATTGCCTATACTTTTCTAGCAATATAACGGTTCGTTCTGAAACTTTGCCATTTGTACTCTAAGAAAAAATGGAGGAAAATGGCCAGCAACGGCGTGTCTTTCTCCCTTTTACCGAAGCGCCCCCAAGCGGACATGAGAAGAAGGGAAGAACCAGGCGTTTTTCTGCTTCTCCGGGCAGACGGCAGAAAGCTTTCGCCCTCCCGACTTCTTTTCTTTCGGTTTCGTTTTTCGAGCACGTCGCGCACGTTGTTTAATAAATGTTGCTGAGTTGAATGAGCTTCAGCTTTAGCGACGGCCGCCTTTAATTCGGTCTCCCAGTCCATACGTCAGAACATTTCGGTTGCATTGACGTTTTTTCCTCAAATTTTATCAAACGAGCAAACGAAGCCGCTAGAAACAGCGAAGTTCTGGAGCAGTGCCAGCAGCGCCAGCAGCGCTACGTACACTGGGTAAGATGGCAGTCTCCGGATTGTGGGACCCACTCGGAACCACACAGAACTGTGTCGAAGTTTTCGACGTTATGGAAATCGCAGAAACTGCCTCCAAGACAGGAAGGTTTTGCTGCCGGCTGCCTGGGTGCCTTCAGTGCTGAGTTCGGTTATGTTTTCCGCTGCCGAATGCCAACCGGCAATCAACGTGGTCCTGCATTTCGGCGTGTCAGCAACATAGCAGCAACATCGTGATGGCAGTGTTGTGCGTAGTGAACAGACGACTGGAATAGTCGCCGATGTGGCCGTGTGTTCGCGAATCAGTGGTGTAACAACAAGATGAGATGACGTAAACTGTCTGGCATTGGTGCCGCTGGTCGGGCCGTGACCGGAGGGGGCGGGGTATCGCAGGCCGACATTCCGCTTTACATTAAAATGTTTAAGACCACTCGAGGGATTCGGTGCAATCGATCGACGTGCGGATAGTCATGTTCGAACTCTGCTCTGAGCAGTAAGCTCCTATCGTACAGTGGCCAATGTTACTGTCGGTAGTCTCCTCCCCGAGAGCAATTGCGCTCTGGGGAAAGGACTGAACAGTACAAAAATAAGACTGAAAGTACGTATATTTACAGTGTGTGATTTTAGCATTAAAAAATAATAGGGAAAATCGAAAAAAAAGCTATCCTTTAGTTTGCTGTTTAAATGTACTACGGTTCCTGGAGAAACTGCCCTCCAGGTGGCGCGCTGGGATGAGCGCTAGAAGTTTTCGAGCTCACCATGGCGTAGCTCCGTACACTTAACACCTGCCACAAGTCGCGGCTTTGAGTGCATTGAAGTTGATCGAAAAGCGATTTCTTTGCCCGGGAAACATCACTTCCAGCTGAGTGAATACCCGCTCTACAGAGATTAATTCAAGACAGTTGCAGCCGCACACGAACAGCACAAATAGAAAGACAAACACTACAATAGAAATACTGGCTGCGACGTGCCGTGAGGGGAAACAAACGCATGGCTTGGAACCACATTGCAGCGGCTTGATTTATTGGCTTTCAAATAATTACGGCATGACCATTTACGTTTTACAAAGAGATTCATCCCCTCAGCCGTCCAACATACTCTTAGAGGTATAACATTGCTCCAAACAAAGCAACGCACTGGGAATATTCTTTATTGATTATGTGGTCACCGAGAATTCCGTACGTTCAAAACGACCAGTATAAAGGACAGAAACGCAGAGATTGGGAGTAGTGATCGGGTTAGTGTGCCGTTGTATTGATGTTTGCACGTGCCATGTATGTGTATACGCTCAATGTATGTTCAGCTGTAGTATGCGTAATGTGGCTACATGTGTGTATAGGGTGTATTCACTGGCGGCCATATCCGTGTGCGTTGCTGCTGAGCGCGTGCTGACGGCGAGCTTCCGCAGTTCTTTTGGAGCGTGCATTTAGCACCATCAAGGTTGCCCGTGGACGCTTGAGGCGCGGCGCGTGTTGTAGGAAGCTTCATATCGCCCCGAGGTGAGCGGAACTCAAGAACACAGTCGAGCTCAATCGTTGCGCAGCGACGAGGCACCTTTCCTTCGAACGGAGTGACATGCGGTTTCCCAAAGCACGAGCAGCGCCCCCAACCGCCGTATTTGTCACGCGCTGCGACTGGGTGTTTCATTTTAGTGCATACTGTATACCGGTTACATTGTGTGAACATAAATATGAATTGGAACTAGCTCAGATCAAGATTTCAAAAAAAAAAAAAAAAAGAAAAGCTTGTGTACAACTAACGCAGCAAAACGAAGGGGAAAGTTCCAGTGCTCGCGTACGCGGATTTGGCTAATGCTTCAGTTGCACGGAGGATTTGACAATATTATTTATGAAGTTGCGTGCATGCAATTAATAAACATCTCGGATGCAGCGTTCAAGGCAGTGTGAAAGTTAAGGATGACATGTATTTAATGCCTTGCGTAAGATAATGCATTTATTCGGGGCCAATTATATTTGATCATTCTATGCTTGAGTTTTTTTTAAATAGATAACCCCGATCAATGTCACGCACAGCAGCCGATCATGCCTTGGCGGCGCCTAAAATCTAAGAAAAAACTAATAAAAAAGAAACCCTAGTTTAGAGATGTTGCAAGAAACAAGTTTCGACTTACTTGGCGTGGTGTCAACTGCGTTGATGGTGATGTTGATTGTGTACCCTCGGATTAAAGAGGCCGCATGGAGGATCGTGGTCAGACATAATGCTCGGACGTTCATCGTGCAACCAGTCGCCGGGTGACAGCAGGCCTGCGATCAACGAAAAGGCGTGCCGTTCTAATCATGATTGCGAACACTTCACACGACAGACTTTCGATAAGAAACCGAACGAGTTCAGTAAGTCACCGGTACGCACGCGTGTCGGTCCGTCCACCGAACCGTACTTTCATTTTGACGCCCGACACAGCTGTCAGTCGACACAACACGCCCAACGCGCTGACGCAGCAAAAAACGGAGACTACGTTCGCGCACGATATCCCCTGACGTGATCCAGAAACGCGACGGACCGTTCGAACCATCCAAGATTCGGTGTTTGCGCGCGCGCAAACAACGACAAGCGCCGCTACAGTGGGCATTCTATAACGCGCAGTCTCAACGCTGCACGCGAATTGTCGGGTCATTGACTGTCACTTTCAGGCAGGTACGCGGAACTGCGACGCCGCCCTCCGCAGCGCGGTTAACCGTGCTTCCCCACAACGTCATCCGCGTCGGGGACGCGCTGGGGGGCCCTCGTCCCCGTGTAGTTCCGCGCTCATGAACGGACTCGCCACAGGCGGTTCTTTACGGCCCCGGTCGGCGTGTGCCGTCTAGACGTTTCGTTAAAATTGCGAGCGGCAGAAGGGTGTTTTCCGCGCCCCGTGGGGAGCATTCTTCAATTCCCCGGCGAGAGCCGTCCGCCAATAAGGTCAGGCAGGTCGAACGGCGCTGCGGGGTGGACGAATCGTCGTGAAGGAAAAGTTTGATCGACGCTCATGGCTAGGGGAGGATTAGGAGCGGATCATGGACCGGGAAGTCAGGCGCGCAGCAGTCGTCATCGGGAAGCTTCTGAATAAATTGTTAACACCAGGAAGGTCATCCGAGGTGGCGGGCCTCTTTTAGAACGAAGATTTCCGTGGCCCCCTAAAAACTACATGACGTCTGGACCACGTACTTCGTTCGGCGACTGAGGGACCGATAACTCTCGAGCTGTCGCGCGCTCATGCCATTCCTCCAAGTCATTCAACGGAGCAAGTTCGCTAGGAAAGCTTTTGCTTTCTTCTTTCCAAGTTACTTTCTTCTAGCGTGGCGTCGCTATTCACCTGCTGCTTCCGGCATTTAACGTTCGTTGTTTCGGTCGCGAAATGCAGGAAGCGATTGAATATTGTTTTTTATGACCTGCTGTTCGCGTTGTTGTATGTACCCCAGCTCGCTGTTCGGCCCAGCTCACAAGGTGCCGAGTCCACCCACGCGAGATACAATGCAACACGACGCAATCGGAACTTCAAATCAGTCCCCCTTCCCCGCGACCACCGACCCTCCTGCAAGTAATACAAACGTATCTAGGGAATTTAGCACGCTCTTTAGCTCACCGCAATTATCGCGGAGATAGATCTTTGTCATGCATCTCGCCTTATGTCGAGAATCGTTAAGATGACAATTAGGAGTTTTCCCCCTTATCTAGAGCAAACGGATCTGGATTACTATCGACTCTCAATGAAGCGGTAATGAATATCCTGCTGCATCTCATGCATGCCATTTTAATCCATCCTACTTATGCTCACCACTTAAAGCGAACAAAAACTTCCAAGGCCGCTTTGGATACGTTTAAAGCCAAACAAGAAAGCCACCGCAATTCCTCGGGCGGTGAGCTCCTCGGAAGTCGCGAGCGCTTACCCGCTTCTGGTAGAACCTCTCTCGGAGATTCGGGTGTGGCCTACAGATGGAAGAAGCATACGGCGTTTTCTCTCGAGTACATTTGGTTCCTCAGTATGCATTGGCTTCCACCGCCGACTCAAGACTGAGACACGCACACATTATTTTGCAAGCTGACGAGTCCCGCGTGAGGTATGCGAGCGCTCTGAGGCTCAGCAGAAGTTTGAAAATTCGGACTATCGGCGTTCTTATCTTTGGGTTATATTCGTTCTGATTGGTTCGACTCAGCCAAGTATCGTATCTCTCGAAATGTGTTCGTCTTCGGTTTTCCGCGCTTGATATCGAAACAAGCCGTCATCCGGTGTCTCTTCCCAGAATGAAAGAGCTTAGAGCGACTCAAAAACTTTATTTGATGTTTATTTTTTTTTTTGTTTTTGCTAGGTAGAATCAAAAAACGTCGTTTATTTTGATTTGGATATATCATGGCAGTGTAAGTATTTTAGTATAGCGTTAACACGTCATTTCCAAACTAGTTCTTTCATTTTGATCGTACCTGGTGACTCTTTCATTTGCGCTGGTTAGTTAGCGTCGACGGATGAGCGAACGTTTGCTTGACTCGAGGGGTATGGTTACTGATAAAAAATCTGAGCTTTCGTGGCATATTAAAAAGAATATTTTATTTCATTTCGTGCTTTGACTTCACTCCGGTACACGCGAGATTTTGTGTGGCCGTGCTATAAACACTTGAGCGCAACCTGCGAACATAATCTGGTAAGAAGTAGTCGGAAAAGATATCTCAAAATGACTGCAAACGTTTCGTTAAGAGACAGCTTCATCAGGGACGGGCGGTGTGTGAACAATCGAGCTAGGGAGCACGCGGCTTCTGTTAAAGGAACATCGGCCGGACATCTCTCTGCACACTGCCGGTCCTGCAAGTGAACTCCTAATATTAACAACATTACCACTATAAGGCGACACCAGAACGCATATGCACGCGAAGTAATTGAAGCCCTGGCCATCGAAGAAAGTAGTCCAATGTGCGTGACGATCCACGCGAAAGAAAGACAATATTTGGGATGTGGTACGAGCCGCTTAACATCCTAATCAACGTGAATCCTAATGGGTGCAGCGCGGATATGGGGAATGGCTTTTATCACTAGCGGCAGTGAAAAAGAAAAAGGGAATACGAAGTATTAAAGCAAGCAAGTTGAACTTGATAGTCAGCGGTGTGTATGTCTTTTCCTCTCTCGGTACTTCTAATTTGTAGCTGTTCGGGTGATCCTATTCAATATGCACCAACTAGCTCAAGTCAAACCTGTAGAAATTCATACTATGATGTGCTAAAAGAAAATCTCTGACAGCCAGATCATACCCATACCAGAACACTGGAGCTCCTGGCATCGCTATGATTAGAATATAGCTAGAAATATCAGGAACTCTTGAGTTCTGTAAAACGGCGTGCGTGGCAAGAACACGGTCCCATGGCTTAGAAGATACCTTACTGACGTCAGTTCTTCCGCGAGACACAAGACTAAAAAGCATACAGAAAAACCTAGAAATATGGTTTAATAAAATGTCTAAAATGTACTATGCTTTGAACGGGATTCAGGAAAAAGAAAATTGATTGAGATCTCCGGTTGAAAAATGAAGTTGCACATTGAAATTTGTTAACTGTTTACTACGAATTATAAATTACATTCTCTGTGTGACACTTTTGCATTACACGTTCGAATCGCTATGCTAACAAAAGGTTTTACACGACTACAAACAGACTTTTGGCTTTGCTTTTGGTAGCGTGCATTTCTGGCCGTATCTCGGCTTTTGCATTTGTGTGTACAGAAAAGTAAAAACGACAGCATTCGATCCTCCAAACAAGACAAATGACGGTTCCGTTCCCAGTAAGAATTCGAATAAGGAAGGAAAATTAAGTCCTTTATTCATAAAAAAAGACGGTTTATCTAAGATAACACGGAAGACAAGGCCGCGGTGACCCTGACCAGAATGACAGCGCAAAACTCGTAGGCGCTGATCCACGTCACGCGGCCGCCGAGTAGTACAGACGTGAAGAAGAAACGCCGGGGGGGGGGGGGGGGGGGGGGTGTCGTGATGCGGGGAAGGCAGGGTTAGCTTTGCCAAAAGTGCAAGCGTTGTTCCGCCCTGGGATAGGAGGAGGGGAAAAGATGGGACTTAGGTGAGTAGGGGGGGAGGGGGGGGGGGGGGAAGGCAAAATAAACCAGCAGCATTCATGTCTCAGTGAGCCAGTTGGCGAGTCCGAACTGGGCAAGTGGCACTTAGCGGAAGAGCAGGAGGGGCGTCATAGTTGCTCTGCTAGACCGGTCTCACGTAGGAAACCCAATAGGAGGGACTGTATGATCCGTCTTCTATGCCTGGGACCTTCAGGGAAAACTACGTCTGATGCTGTCATCGGTCGGATGTGTTGTGAGGATAGGGCGGAGAGAAACGTCCTTCGAGCTTCCTCGTGGAGAGGGCAGCCCCAGACTATGTGAACCTCGTCCTCTGTGACCGCACACCGCTGACAGAGCGGAGTGTCTCTGCGTCCAAACCGGTGGAGGAGCTTCCCTGTGTATGCGCTCCCTGTTCTAAGTCGGAAGAGCAGCGTCGCGTCGGACCGTTTTAACCCCTGGGTCAGGTAAGGTGGCCGCTTTGAGCTGCTCCAGGGGGAAATATCCGAGAAGAAAGCCTGGATGGCTTGCTGGTAGCGCTTGGGATTAGGAGGCGCCCTTAGTGTAGGAGAGAGGTCGTGGGCACGTAAGGCTATGCGGTCCACGATCTCGTTTCCGCGGAGGCCCACATGGGATGGGACCCACTGGATTGAGATGGAGTGTCCATGTTCTTCAAGCTGGCGGACTACCCGTCTCACCTCGTTGGCAGTGGGGCATGGACCAGGTTTGCGTATGCGCTGAATTCCTCCACGTGAATCCGTGAGGACAACGATTTGTTGTGGAGGCAGCGACTTCGTCGCAGTCAGGGCTTCTGCGATCGCCAGCAGCTCGGCGGTCGTGGACGACACCATGTGAGTAGTGCGGGCGCTCCAGTCTTTTTGTAAGTCCAGGATGTGGTAGGCTGCCGTGCTGCTTTGTCAAGACCTGTCCACCGAACCGTCCGTGTATATGTGTAGATGCCGAGGGTACCTTGCTGCTAGCTGTTCTTGTGCAGCTGCTTTGAGAACCAGAGGGGGCGTGTTGGCCTTCTTGCGGACGCCGGGTAGGAGTTCGGCTAACTGCAGGCCTGCCTCCCAAGAGGGTGTCCTGCCGTGCGGGTTGATTATCTGGGGGGGTTCCCATCCAAGTGCGGCAAGGGTCTTGGTGGCGAGGCTGAGTTTGGATTGAGTTCGGGTCCTGAGCCTCTTGATCAGGGACTGGCCAGGATGAGTCTCC